TGAGCGTCGCTCTACTTCAGATGCTGTTGCTGGTCTTATACATTCTATATCATCCACTACAGACCAAAAACACAAAATTGTTGATGTTTGTTTCTTGCACTACACAAACGCGTTTAACTCTAGTGACAGAAACATCTTATTGTCACTGTTACGGCAACATAATCTCCCGCCACATCATTTGAATTGGATGCACGACTATTTTACCGACCGACCTCAATTCACTTGTCTCAACGGTCTTCCGCCGTTACTGCAAACCAGGGTCCAATTCTGTTCCCTTATCTGTTCTCCTTTTACATCCAAAACTTGCCAGTCACCCCAAATGTTTTCACATTTAAATATGCCGATGACATAGTAGTTGGTGGTACATCCCACAACAACAACCCTTCAACCAGCCATAAGTTCCATTTCTGAATGGTCCGATGGTGCTAACCTTTCTTTAAACCGGAACAAATGCATTGAAGTTTTGTTTTCCATTAACACTTTCTGGTTCATCTGTTCCCAATATCTTAATCAGTAACTTAAAAGTAGAAAGGTCACAACACTTCAAATATCTTGGATGTTTCCTGTTTGCTGACCTCAAATGGTTCTATTACGTAGAGCAAAGATTTCTTAAAGTCAGAAAGTTGACCTTCGGCATCCGAGGGTGCCATTGTACATAATTTCTACTTTCTCGTGCGTTTTATACCTTTGGACCTATTGCTCATCCGTAATCTTTCCCGGTCTACCGTCTTTTCTTTGTCTTTTTTATTTCTACTTCCTTTTATTGAATACACAATGATACAATTTTCAGGAAGGGGAAAGCGGTTAATCAAAGGGCTGCCATACAACACATAAATAGGGAAAGTCAGGATTTCATATTATTAGATGCTCTCTGGAAAGCATTTCTAAATGGGGAGCTGTACCTTATGAGGAGCTGGTTGATTCCATCTTAAACCAAAATTTTAAAGCGGGTGACTATCTTGTCCGATGTATCACATCCTTTACACTCAGCCTTATCTAGTTCCATTTCGACTTCTGTCACCCGCAATAAATTCAAATTCACTGCTTTTCACAACTCCGTTGTATCTTGCCTTTCACGTTTGTTGGTTTCTAGGGGACGAATAGCAAACCAACTAATACACAGTCTAATGTAAATTTTCACCCTGAAACTTTCTTCGTTTTTTAAACGTTCCCAGTGTCCTCTTCATTATCATCTAAGTAACTATTTGTCATATCTTTAAACTCATTTTAATAGCGCGTATGCCAAAGCAAAATTGATAACATTCTTTTCACTGAAAATTCTAACCATAATGGATGAAGAAAGTGCATTCTTCACTTGACCTGTATGCCCAGTCAGACTGTGCTGACCACATAGTTTCATTTTTTTCAAAATAGACTCACTCCTCATCTACGTCACGCACTGGTACTTACCTTTTGTAGACAGTGGGTTTGGCAGAGACTAGCGAAATTCGATTCACTGTATTCCGCTATCAGATGACGACCGTATTTCATGTTCAACGCTTCCTTTTGATCAGAAAAATATTTGAAAGAAAAACAATCTTTTATTCTATTTCCTTTATTGAACATGAAATTTTCAGGAAGGGGGAAGCGGCCGATCACAGGACTGTTATACAACACAAAAAATGGGGAAGTCAGGCAGCGTTAGTGGGATTCAAACACGCTTCATCTGGTTCGATAAGTTGATCACTATTACCGATTCACCTCCACCCTCCAGGCCTAATATACTTAGGCGGTGTGGACCGACGCGAACTGGATGAGAAATTAAGCGACGAAGCCAAGCAAAGAAGGGAAAATCTGCAGGTCTCCGGTTTTTGCAGTTGGAATTGTAGACAGAATGCAGTAGTAAACCTGGTAATAGCAGTGAAAAAATCTAATTTCTTGTAACCAGTAAGTGAGTTCCGATTTAGTCTTGTCATTCGAGTGAAGTACTGATAATCCTTCCTCTGGATCCGAGCATCTTTTGAACAGTATATAGCTTTCTAGTTTATCAGCCTACGCTGTTAGCTGTGTACACAACGAAATCCACTATATACTGTTTCGCTTCGGTGTCGAGCTTAACTGACTACCATAATGGTAGACTGTCTCTGCACGGACCACGGATTGTTCCTGTCAAACACGAACTTCTCGCACAAGAAACGCCATCGACTTGCATGTGTTATTTCTTGATATCAAGACGATATAATCCACACGTATGCCCCTTTGTCTAGGCCCCAACAACTGGAGAAAGAACACTGCTGAGAAACGACAGTCACAGTGTGTTCTTGATCATGAAACAAGAAGCAAAATATATGTGGTCAGTTGGGCGTACGCGAGCAGACGTGGTGACGCGCCAATCAGATCGTGACCTTGACACTCAGGTTGATCGACCGGACGATAGCTATTTGATTCGCCTTAGTCATCCAATCAGGAGTCGATTCGGCTTGGGCGTCACGAGCGCACTTGTGGTGTGGCGCGCCTCGCTGCGTGGCAGGACGGATTTTGTGCGCTGCATCCTAACATGGAAACCGCCAACCTCTTCACAGCGCTATACCCAAATCGACCACATCGCCATCAGTTATCGCTGGAGGGAATCAATTCAAGACTGCCGCTCTTACTGGTCAACAGACTCTCCGCCTCGACTGGAGAAGTACTCCCAATTCATACTAGTCCTCCATCTGAAATGGAGGTTTCTCGGGAAATAAGGTATCTCAAAAGGCATAAGGCCTCTGACCCAGATGGGCTGTTCCCATCAGCGTTTAAGGATGGAGGTTCAGCGTTAGTCTTGGAGTTGACAAAACTCCTGGGTTCAATATGGAAAAGGGAAGAGGTTCCAGCTGAATGGTGTGAGTCAGTGATCATACCGATTTACAAGAAGGGCGACAGGTCCTCTTGTGAAAACCACAGAGGAATTAGTTGAATACCCTGCCAATTGTCTGCCGCACGTGAAGGGTGCACGCGTGAGAACCAGGCTGGTTTTAGACCCAGTCGAGGTTGTATCGACCACATCTTCACTCTCCGCCAAATTCTGGACTTCGTAGACCCACCATCTCTGTCTTCCTAGATCTGAAAGCGGCTTTCGACTCAGTCGACCCCTCAAAACTCTAGCGCTGCCTTTCCCTGAAAGGTGTGCCCGAGAAGTTATTCTCAATATTACGATCGCTTTATACTAATAGCCGAAGTCGAGTCCGAGCTTACGGCACTTTTTCGCCCGAGTTCACCACGTTATACTCATAGCCGAAGTCGAGTCCGGGCTTACGGCACTTTTTCGTCCGAGTTCACCACGGAAAGTGGTGTTCGTCAGGGTTGCCTTCTTTCTTCATTCTTTTTGACTTTGTTATAGATCTGATTATGGAAACAGCCCTATCCTCGTGCGAGGATAGTGGCATCGATTTATCCCCAGGAGGCAGACCGTCTGATCTAGAGTAGGCAGACGACAGTGTGGTGCTAAAGGAAGATCCAGGTAAGTTGCAAGCATTTCTGGATAACTTGAATGCCAGCGTAGCCATATCCGGTATGCGTTTTGCACCTTCAGAGTGTAAAATGCTACTACAAGACTGGGTTGGTCTAGCACCCAGCCTCA